AAAGTTTCCAGTGATTAAGCTCCCAGAACTTCTGAAGGCAAGCTGTTCCATTGGTTGATTGCTCTCAATGTCAGAAAATTTCTCCTTATTTCTAGGCTGATTCACTCCTTGATCAGTTTTCATCCTTTATTCCTTGTCTGGCCTTCAGGTGCTTTGGAAAATAGATTGACCCCCCTCCTCTCTGTGACAGCCCTCAAATATTGGAACACTGCTGTCACGTCATCCCTGGTCCTTCTCTTCACTAGACTAGCCATATTCAGTTCCTCTAACCATTTTTCATATGTTTAACTTCCAGTCCCCTAATCATTTTTGTTGCTTTTCTCTGTATTTTTCTAGAGTCTAAACATCTTTTTTATAATGTGGTAACCAAAACTGGATGCAGTATTCTAGGTGTGGTCTTACTAAGGCTTTATAGAGTGGTATTAGTACCTCATATGATCTTGATTGAATCCTCTGTTAATACAACTTAGGATTGCATTGGCTTTTTTGGCTGCTGCTGCACATTGTTGACTCATATTTAATTGGTTGTCCATTAAGATTCCAAGATCCCTGGTTTCTCCTGATCTATATGTGTACTTTTGGTTTTTCTTGCCTAAGACTTTACTTCTCTCTGCATTGAATTTCATTTTATAAGTTGGGTCCCAGTGTTCAAATCTGTCAAGATCCATCTGGATCTTGAGCCTATCATCTAGGGCAGGGGTGTCAAATTCTCAGCCTGCGGGCCGGATGTGTCACATGCTGGCTCTGCCCCCGCCTTGTTTAGCAAAGGGGGGGGAAGTCCCGATACGTCACGTGATGCTGCTATGACAATGTGAGTTTGACAGCCCAGATCTAGGGTGTTGGCTATTTCTGCCAGCTGCAGATGTAGATGTAGTACCAATAAGGACTACTTGTTGAGTATGGTTTGTCAGCCAGTTAGAAATCCATCTGATGGTGATACTTTTTTCTAGCTTACCAAGAAGTAGGTTGTGGTTTACTTTGTCAAATGCCTTGTTAAAGCCTAAGTGTATTATGTCCACAGCATTTCACTGATCTAGTAATGTAGTCACTATGTCAAAGAATGAAATAGGATTGGTTTGCATGATCTTTTTTAAATAAACCCATGCTGACTTTTAGTTATTACTTTACTCGTTTCTAGGTGTTCACAGATCTGGTTTTTTTTATTATCTTTTCCAGTATCTTCCCAGATATTGATGTTTGGCTGATTGGTCTATAGTTTCTGTTCCAGTCCCCCATGTGCACACAAATGAGGAGTTTAAGGACTTTATTGAGGCTATACAGACTTTATTGAGGCTATACAGACTTTATTGAGGCTATACAGACTAATACAGGGTTATTCCCCAGGTTTCTACTTGCATCAAATGCAAAGTTCTATTGAGCCTGATATTGCACAGCGTAGGCACAACTCCACAAAGACAAAGTCTGAAATCCAGGCACAGTCCAAAGTCCACACATGGTAATTAAGCCAAGGTTCAAGTTCAGAATCCAATGAGCAAATTCAAGGTTCAAATACATGGCCAAAGGGGAAGAAAGAACAGAATCCTGAGGTATTCCACAAAGTAGGGGATGTGATTTGGATTTCTCTTTCTCTGTCATCGCTGACTGGCACTGGCACTGAAGTAAGGAGGAGAACCAGCACTATACAGTGCCACTTACCTTTAATTCCTAGAACTGGAAAGATACTATGATAAATAGTACCAAATCCCACTGAGAAGTTAGGAAGAGCCAGGATGGATGCACTACCTCCACCCAGAAGAAGTTATGATATGTATATGAGCATGATCAATGTGATCTGAGTTCCAAATCCTGTTCTGAACCCAGACTAAAAGGGGTCTAGATAATCTGCCTCATCCACTGTTCTCTAAAGCTGCCATTGACCACTCTCTCCACCACCTTACCTAGAAAGGGGAGATTGGAAACCAGACTTTAATTGTCTAATCTAGCCGAGCCGAACAATGGTGTCAGAACTGCCATCATACACTGAACTGTGCATTTGCTTGCTGTCAGTCTGCCATGGACATGAGAGGAGGAAGCCGGGTTGGAGGGAGGTAATTACTCATTGTGCCTTCCAGAAACAGCACGGGGCAAAGCAGAGAGCTAGAGCCTGAGAGCAGCGCAGATAGCAATCAGGAAAGAGACAGTGGAGATGAGTGGAGGGCTGAGTGAGCAGACCAGACAGCGAAGCTGAGCTGACTGGAAAGCTGCACTGCAGGCCAAGAGAGCTGACCAGAGCAGGGATGAGGTCGAAAAGACTCAAGCACCAAAAGACAGAACGGACCTGGCAGAGAAAATGACAAGAGGCCAGAGCAGCGAATGACAGAAGTGAAGGCAACAAATTAAGCCAGAGGTCCCAATAGGCAGGGAGGGAAGACCCCAGTAGATAATAAAAATAAATACAGGACAGAAAATAAAAGATAAATAAATGGGCAAATAATAAGGACAAAAGTGGAAAATTAGAAATCAAGGAAGAACAGGATTAATAAAGATCAATCAAATAAATAAGGCTAATCTTAAGATAGGGAGGAACTGGAGCTTAAAAACTTTTTAAAAAATATAGGAAAGAAAAGGATAAATAAAACTAACATAATAGTAAGCAAGTAAAATAAATAACAAGGTATAAAAAAAAAGCAGAAAAAGGCAGAAAAAAGGATAGGAAAAAAACCAGATACAAAACTTTTGACTCTTAAAAGAACCAGCAAAAAGAAACAAACTCATCGAACAGGTGACTATTACGGTATGCAATATATGTTCCATGCATGTGCTTATGCCCAAAGAACATCCAAATTATACATATATTAAATGTAAGCTATGTGAACTACTAGAGGAAAAAGTAAGGGATCTAGAGGCAGCTCCAAATCCAACCTATGCAAAAAAGCTATGCTCAAATTGAACCAAATAATAACCAAACAAATAATTCCCAGAGGATTTGACCCTGCTGACAAACCCCTGGAGGAAGACAAGTGGAAGTATGTCACAAATTGAAGGAAACACAATAATCAAAGAAAAAAGCGGCACACAACTAACAAACTCCTACTGCCTAATCTCACCCAATCAGAAGTGGTCCCATTAAAACGGGGCATGTGCTCTCAGGACGCTTCCCTGAGGCCCACTAGGCCAAAAACAGGGTGTGGTGGGATGCTGCAAAGGAAAAAAGAAAGAGAAAGAAAGAAAGAGGGAGGAAGGAAGGGGAGAAAGAAAGGGAGGGAAGGGAGAAAGAAAGAAAAAAGAAAAAAGGGAGGGTGGGAGGGGGGAAGGAGAGGAAGGAATGACCTTGCCACAAGAGACGCAGCTTCAGAGAATGCTTTGAAACAGCACAACAATCCAGGGTTGGAAGGTACCTGGAGGTTATCTAGTCTGACCCCCTGCTCCAGAAAGTGAGTTTCTGTTTTTTGGACCCCCCTCCCAGTCACATGACCACATATCCATGCCCACCCAATCACATGACCACATATCCATGCCCACCCAGTCACATGACCACATACCCACTCCCACCCAGTCATAGCCTCGCCCACAGAAGCGATAGTAAAAAAAATTGAATCCCCCACTGGTCACCGCACTAAAAAAGATGTTGAGACTCTGGAAAAAGTGCAGAGAAGAGCAACCAGGATGATTAGGGGACTGGAGAGTAAAACATATGAAGAACGGTTACTGGAACTGGGCGTGGCTAGTCTACTGAAGAGAAGAACCCGGGGAGACATGATAGCAATGTTCCAATATTTGAGGAGCTGCCAGAGAAAGGAAGGGATCAAGCTATTTTCCAAGGCACCTGAAGGCCAGACAAGGAATAATGGATGGAAACTGAACAAGGACAGATTTAAGTTGGAAATAAGGAGAAATTTTCTGACAGAACAATCAACCTATGGAACAGCTTGTGTTTTTCCTTGGAAAGGCAAGTACCCCCATAGATATGAGGCAAAAAGAGGAATAGAGCAAGCTTTTCATTGATCAATTTGTGTTGAACTTACCATCTTCACCCTAACTGAAAGAAAACAGGCACACAACAGCAATTTGAACAATTTTACTCTTGGCTTACAGGGATTACCACTTTCAAGGGTCACTATTTACACAGTCGTGATTACAAGAGTCCCAATGAATTTACAGGAAAAAGAGTCATTGTGATTGGTATTGGGAACTCAGGAGTGGACCTTGCTGTGGAGATAAGCCACACAGCACAACAGGTTTGTAACTACATGCTTTCTTTTATATTAATGAAGGGCAAGATATTAGGAAAGTGTTCTGAAAATTATGAATGTCCACTGACCTTGTGAACTCTAAAATTCTGATGCTATCAAACTTTTTACATGCAAGAAGTCTTTTTGAAAATATCCATAGGATATCGTAGAATGTGATAAAAGTGGCGGAACAGGTGTTTTGAAACAAAGGATTACTTGGCTAAAGGATTGTCTGTGGTACAGCTGTGGCAAGTTCCCTCTTGCTCATCTCCAGAGATTTTTTCCCCCAAAGCTTTTCCAAAACTTTTGATCATGTACAGTATCTGTATAGCTTAGAAAAGAAAGTGAAATGGAAGCACCTATTTAGTTTATTCACCCAGTAAGGAGGGTGGTTTTATTATTGAAACAGGTACGGGAAATTCTTTTTTAGGTTTGAGAGAAATGTGAGAGATTGATTTGCAAGTGTTGCAGTGATATGGAGGATCTCTACTAGCCTCTATGCAGAAATTATATTTGAAGGTTTTGCACTGATGGTATTAAACCTTCCAGGAATTGCACAAATATCATTATCCAGCCAGATGTTGGAAGGGTTATAAATAGAAAGGGACATTCCTCCATTTTGATGGACAAGTGAAAAAGAATTTTTGATAAATGTTATGATTAAAAAAATAATTAAATTAGGATTATTACATATAATTCAATGCAGAGTCTGTGGGGCTAAACGGTCAAAAAGTACTACATTGCTTTTGGCTTTTCAGCACTGGAAAAATCTAGCATATTTTATATATTGAAATTGACATAGAAAAATTTGATCAGTAGCTTTGTATTAGATAAAATGTATATGTTGAAGAAACACTATTGAAACTTTAATATTATCTTTAAAAACGGATTTAACCATGCCTGTCAGTCCATAGACCACAGTGGCTTTATAGTTTGTATTCCCTAGGTCTGGAACATCATTTTGAAATCCAGACTGACCATGAGACTTTGGAACACTAAAATTTTCTCATAAGTTCAAACACTACTGTAACAGCTCAATTGGGCACAATTCTGTTTTTGTTTAAACATTCTTACTTTCTCAGGCCAAATAATTTTTAAAAAATTATCCTTTATCAGCCAGAGTATTTATTGATTTATGGTTCCCCAATTTCTAATGGGTACCTGGAAAAGTTTGTTCCCAAGCACCTGGCTGACCCTAGAGATAGAAAGGAAACTAGTTTTCCAAGTGAACAAGCTATATGATCCAAAACGACACCTATATAAAGATTCAGTTACAGTAAATGATCTACCATTGTTTTTTCTTTGCCTTCTACCTGTCTTTTCTTGAGAATGAAGAAACTTTACTACGTGCCATTCCAATGGTAGTTGAACTTTTCTCTCTGGTAGCTGTTCCCTGTTATTTCATGGCCTCGTGATCACTCTCCATGATGCAGATTCAGCAGATGCAGAATCAAACACTGATGCTCTATCAAATCACTCCTCAGCCAGGCCCAATTCATTTTTTTTTGGCCAAGGAGTAGGGAAGATCCACTTTCCTGCCTAAGAATTCTATACCCTGCTAAGCATCTTGTGAATAAATGGCAAGGCACTGATTTTGCATGCACCTGGTTCTTCGTTATTGGCAACTATTGAGCAAGGAAACTTCATTCATGCATGCTGGACAAGGAGAAGATTTAAACCATGAAGGGACTGCCTTCTGTTGCTGGAAGTTTTGTACTTCATTTATTCTTGCACCAGATTGCTGATACTTTTTTTTAACCATAGTATGTTCTTAACCAAGTTTTTGGGTCTTTCCTTGGCACTTTTGAAGGTGTTGTGTGTTTTCCGATGACAGACTAACTGAATTGTCTTCTCTTAGCCTCCAGTAAGCATATGCATATGGCGCATATTCATGCTCTTTGTTCTACTTCTCACTACCTCTGCTGTCATCTCTCCTGTCTGGCTAGACTTGGCTTCTTGATGCATTCACAAGCCTCACTGAAAATGCACCACTCCAACTGCTTGTACTTGCTTCCTCACTTTTGCATCTGTTACCAAACTCCTACCAGGTTCCCTCCCTAACATCTCTGCAAGCCTTCCATGCAATCACTCACCTCCTACCTGTATTTTGTTACTAACAGCATGGGTTTTTATACACACACACACATGTTGCCATGGGACAACATGCTGCGGGACAAGAGTTACTGTCTTGAAAGGTAACCTTTGCACAGGAATATTCAGATCTAGCCT